AACTAGCTTTTATTCTTAAAAAGTCGTTACGTTTCGAAAGTGAATTATTGTCAATTTATTATCGGTTGCCAGGCTTATGCATGTTTGCGATGGCTTAGGGGTTCATTTGCAATTTGGTCCTGTACCGGTTGTAAGTGTGCTCCTATGCTGATAGTGTACATGCTTTTTTTTCTTTTTTTTTCTTCTTATTTGTTTTATTATGCTTATACTCAATTTTATTGTTAATTAATATTAGTTTTGCATTAAGAGCCTATTGAACTCGACTGTTATTTGTTTAGTTGAGTTTCTAGTATAAGTGGAATAAAATAAATAAATAAATAAATGCATGCGTCTAATAGCGAAAAACCCAGCCTATGGGGAAAGGTAAGAGTAAATATTATGGGCATTCAGGTTCCACTCTCTCACAAAAATTAATTACGCTCAAGTTCTGTATTCATCAAATATTAGCATGAGTTGAGATTAAAACTTTGGCAGACCCTACACGGTAGACTAGAGTAGGGGAAATTTTGGAGGGGAATATTTCTAGGCATCTGTTCTCTACACTGAGCACGACCTTCTGTGAGTCGTCGACGCGTTCTTTTTTTTTTTGAAATATAAAAGAAAATATATCGAAATTTTTCCCCGATTATAACTAAGTAGCGACTGTCTCGTATTGTTGTTTTTCTGAAAATAATTCTAACGGCTACGTACTGTGCATGAACATACGAAAACTATGCCATATGAAAACTATTGTTTCAGAAGGTTCTACTCACAAACTTTATTTGGCTCTAGGTATTAACTCTAGTCTATTCAGTGTATAGCTGATTGACTTACATTTATGGATATATTTGAAATTTTCACTTTCTTAGTCGATCATTTGATTGGTCGCTTTATTATACAGTGCACTGTATCTTAATACGGAAAAGGTTTAAAGGCCTGTGTACTTATTATCTAATATTTTTATGTCTTTATAAGGGGAAGATTTTATCGGATTAATGTGTTTTTGCGATTAAAATCTTAGTTTTATCTAATTTGCTTAGTTTACAATAATTCTTAGATAATTTTTGTTTTATTCATTTATTTTTATGAATTAATTTAATTTATAATATAATGAAATAATTTTTCATATTTTCTTTTGACAGATAATAACTTAACGGCAATTTAACTCAACAGCGATAACAAAAGCAAAAACAAAAAACAACAATATGAGAAAATGTAAATAAACTAAATTATGCTTTTCACATCAACGATGAATGATCTCAAAGGCAGCTGTTCAAAGTCTAAAGAAGAGGAATACACGCAATCAAAGAAAACCAATTTTACTGAAACCACAAGGCGGAATAGTGCGGATAGACGGACGGAAAGATAGAGAGATAGAGAGGCAGAGAAAGTAAAAGTAAGAATAAGAAACGGAGGTAGCAATAGAGGTAAAGGAAACGAGAGGTAAACGCAAAGGCAAAGAAAAAGTTGGGGGGAAGACGGAGCGAGAGAGAAAGACATATCGCTGGAGATAAAGTCAGTTAAATTTGAATAAAGCGTTTAGATAATTGCAATGAAAAGAAAGATGATGAAAGGCGGCGATGCAAGTCTGATGGAATGCTAATAAATTATTGTAACAGTGTAAAGCACTTTTGACATTGACGTCATTGCAATTTGGAAAAGCCTTGAGAAACTTACGCATTTCACGACCACTAATAGGAGCAACGACAACAGATAATTGCTGAATGATATCAAGTTAAGTGTTGAACTGTGTTGCGTTTTGCGCTATTGACAGTATGAGTCCCAAAGATAATGATACACTTGATGAAATGTTAGGCCAACTGCAGGGTACGAAAACAAATACAACAAAATTTATAACAACATTGGAGGAGCGAGTCGGAGAGGAAAGGGATGTATTTCCAGGGGCTGTTCATAGGTATTCAACTGCGGGCCACGAAATCCGTGAACAGCAAATTGACCTAAAAAGTGTAACAAAGCCAGCCGTACCAAATAGCACCAGCAATTTAATTAAAAAAATGATAAACGACGTCAGCAAAACGATCAATTTTAATCCTAAGCACAACGAGCGTAGGGAGTGCTTAGCGTACAATTTTGTTAGTGGCGATGGTAGTGGCGCTGCTGCAGACGTTAGGCGCGAAGGTATTTTACGAACGCGTGTAGGTAGCGAAGGTGGCGACGGTTCACTCTATACAAGAAATCGCGATGCTGATGATGAGTACACAACAACCTACACAGTGTGCAGTAACACTTTAACTGACGTTAGTTGTACGATAAATAAAAACAACAACAGCAAACGCGTTAAAAGTAGCAACAATAACATTAATAATAATAACAATAACAGCAACAACAGCGATGACAATGATGCTAATAATATTAAAACGAATCCACACGATTGCTTTAATGAAACGATGAGAGCGGCTTTATCTCTAGACATTAGTACAACTCAGTTGGCTTTGGTTGCAGAGAGTAAACAGCGTTCGTTAAAAACATTGTCTACAACGGTAAAAAACGACAACACGACAAGAAATACAAAAACAAATTGTAAGGTAACGACGACAGCGACGACAGCAACGACAGAAACGACAACAACTACAACAATGAAAGCCACGACAACATTAGTTAATACAAAAAAATCGTCAACAGAAAATAAATGTACGTCAAAAGACTTGCAGCAATTCAGTGATCAAAAAACTTTGGAAGCAAACACATCAAAAGCGGTAACAGAAATATCAGCAAACACCCAAGAACAACATCAATGTGAACCACTGGAATTAACTAGCAAAACATTAGCTGAACGGAAAGCTTTATTAAAACAGGAGTTTTTCCAAGAGTTTCACACGGCAGCCTCTTCCAGCTCTTTACGGTCATCGTCTGGTGCTTTAAGTAAACGCGTTTTGAAGAGACAACATAATCTAAAGTTAAAGATACCCTCGGCAGAAGTTGTTGAGAATATTCCTTTATCACTGGTGGCTCAAAGGAAATTGACTCTGTCCCAAAAATTTGAAAAGCAAATTGAAGTAAAGTGTGGTGTGAAACAACCGCAACGTGCTGTAAAATTTCCTCAGATACAGGAACTGGTTAAGAAATTCGACATCGACAAGAAAATGTTAGTAACACAACTGAAGGATCGTGAAATCCAAGAAATGGACACGTTGAAACCATTTGATGGTAGCAGTGCTTTGGAACAACGTAATAGCCCTTTGTCGGATGAGGGTTGCAATCTAGGTCAGAGCCCCTACAGCAGTGATAATGACGACGATGACGATAATGAGTCCATACGCACCACTAATACCGCCATAGAAAGACCGGTGGCAATGTTGAAACATAAAGATAAAGTGGCACGTTCGGCTAGTAGTGACTCGGCTTTAGGTTTGGATGTAGAAGAGGCTATGGATGCTAGTCCACCTGCTAATGAGCATCAACAAAAACGCCGCATGACGTTAACTGTAACCGATCTGCCATTAAGGCCAGCTTTGCTACCTTTAGCAGAACCTACCACTTTGCCGGACTCTCCTACTCCGGAAAGAGAGCTTGTTGCACAAATTCCTTTACCGACCACTCCCATACCCAGTAAAGTGTTATTGGAAGAACGCGTAGTAGAGATACCAGAAGATCATCGTTCTGGAATTAGCTCACGACGTGAGTCTTCTCAGTCTTGTCTTAGCGATTTTCCTCCCAACGAAATGCAAGGTATTAGATTTGTCCGCACTCCTTCCGTTGTGGTTTCAGACTATTCGGACGATATTATGTGTGGCATTACGTTGGAAGAAATTGAGTATTTTAGAGCTCAACGACAACGTAGACGTCGTTCCTCTTTGGATACAGCTACCGACAATAATTCTGACGTAAGTGCTGCCTCCTCATGCAGTAACTTGTATTATTGTGGCTCAACTATATCGGCTTTAGACGGAGCCGAATGTCTTGTAAACGGTGAACGTATTCAGTTGGAGCGTAAAACTAGTGATTGTTCCATAACATGTTCCCTAAGTGGTGATGAAGATGGCTTCACCATACGCGAACAACCGGAAGGTAATTCAGATCGTGATGGCAAAGACATAACCGATATGCTCGCTGCCCAGCATTTGGGAGCTAAACGTTCCAAAAAGGTAGGTATCTCTTCTATGAAGGGATTGTTTAATACTGAAGATTCCCTCTAGATTAAATTGTATGCAAAATTAGTTCTAGTCTCTAAACTACCCCGCTTCCCCCCTACCCCCTCCAAAAAAAAGACTAAAATACATTTTACATATTTCTATGCCTAAGTGTACATATATTTATAAAAATTTGATCTAATCAGCGTTAACGTAAATGCGATTTTCTGCCACTTGCATATATATATATATATATATATATACAATACATATACATATATAATACATAAATAAATATGTGTGGTTTAATACAACTGAAGTATGTCATTGTACTTCTTAATTATTCGCATTTCCTTTTATCTTATCTGTGGAATTAAATGAAATAACAACAGCAGCAAAATTTTGATTTCATTTTATCTGATTTCGAATCTTATCTTAATTATTCGTGATGTTTATACGTTTAGTCTCATTTACTTCAAAAATTGTTGATATTTTTGTTCTTTTATGAAAATAAATATATAATATAAATATATAATATATAATAAATACATTATCCAATTAAGTATTTTATGTAAAACGAAAAACCAAAAAAAAAAAAAATTTGTACCAAATATTGTTGTTTGACTTTCCATAAAAAGTAAGCGGAAAAAACATTCAAATCAGTCAACAGCTATCATCAGTCAACAGTTTCAATTCTTCCCTTTTTTTTTGCCTTTGTACCGATCGTAAATGATGAGATATTCAAATTGAGCAGATAACGTTACTTTTATTGCAATTTTGCATTTATTTTGCACGTTTCATGTGAAGTTCTCTCCTTATGATTCCGTTGCACTCACAGTCAGTATTGGAAGAGCTTTTGCATTTTTTTTTTAAATATGATTGTGGCTCCTGAACGTGTAATACGGTGATGGTTAAGAGAAGGACATAGAGAGTGGGTGCGGTCTAGTGGAATGCATGCCCAGCCGGTAAATGTTATGCCTCTACCGGCTAAGCATTTAGTGTAGCGACGACCAGTATGCTTTACTTCATTAAGATTTGAACCCGCGCCCAATTGCTTATCTGAAAAATTTGAGTGCTTTAATCTCCCTACTACATTAGGCGAACAGATATTATTTATTGCATCTGCTGTTCCCAAATCCAAGCATTTCCCTTCTGAAGACGTGTAACACAGTCAGTGATTGTCATCAAGTTTTTGATAAAACTCGTCATATAGCTACCGGCCCACCAGAACAGAATAAAGAAGAAAAGATATTCAGTGTACTTATCATGTTTTGCTTATAAAGAGTCACGATTTTCATATTATATACATTGGCGGGTAACAATTTTATGCATTTCTCTTAAGGAGCATCTCATTTTCTCTTAATACATCTTGGTCAGCGTTTTATCTATCAGTCGTATAAATAAATCCTTACCCGTTTGTCTAAAAGAGAGCGGTACTTTCTTGTTGATCATTTGCGGAGCACTGAATTTCTGAAACATGAAATATTATTTTTACGTGTTATGCAAAACTGAAGTATATCATATATGTTACATGGCTTTTGAGAACTTAAATAAGTCCGCTTTCCTACAAAAACGAAAACGCCAAATTCAGGAAGCTTAACTTTTCCTGCATGTATCGGGTGTTGAGAGATGAGTACGATGCAATTTGTAAGCGCAAATAATCATGATGCAGATGAAGGGAATTATTAACATAAACATCAAACGTCAGCGTGAATATACTTAGCACCTTTACCTACCTTGGAAGGACTAGCTAAGTTTATTATATGCTGTTATGAAGTACTACAATCCATTCGAAAAAAAATCCATCACTTGGGAAGGCCAATAATGGCAATCGACACAATTGCGCCGATAATTAAGGGAACTAAGGTGGCAATATTAGAGAAAAGGTATTATGGATTTTTCAGCATGACGCGTCAGTCGATCTCCTATTGCAAGACGTGAGAATAAATAATAAAATAAATAAAAAATGATGGCAACCCTGAGTTGGACTGCGCTACCATATTCATTAGATATCCTTTCTTGTAGTTCATTCACTTGTTTCAACCGACGAGTTACTATCTGCTTGAGCTGATAGACATTTTTGATGGGCTTAGTTTTTTATTATCTTTAGATTTCTGCTTATTTTTAATAATAAGATAATATGTATACGGGAAAGAGATATTCAGTTCTAGACGAATGTAATATTTTTTGTCTTACTGAATTCGTTTTCGCTTTTCTAGCCTGAGGTAAGATTACCCTAAACCTTCTCTCTTCTGTACTTTAACTAAGACTATTAAGTGTATGTTTTTTCATAGAAGTGGCCAAGCGGTCTTCATATGTTTGCTCTTTTTTTTTTGCCTTGAGGTTATGTGATCACATCTATGGTTTAATAACGGAACAGCATGCACCACAATATTTTTAACAGGTTGCTATTGTTGTTATTATTAGTATTGTATTTACTGTCATTACTATTACTGTTTGTTTTTTTTTTTTCAACTTCACTCTGGCTAAGCGTTTTGCTGTGTTTCCATTAATGAACAATTGAATCTTTGATCAGGAAATTTAAAATTTCATAGAGCTTCTGGGGCAATAAAACTCTACTTTGGGAAAAGCGAAGAGAAGTTTTCGTGACCTTATGCTTGGGTTGATATATCAATTTTTTTATCAATCGCATTCCGATTGCATATGTTTACATTTTTGACTCGCCATCAGTAAAGACTTAAGCCTGCGTATACTACCAGTACATAAGGATTAAGTGGCATTGTGAAAGTATTATAAACTCAAAATTTTTCATAGCGTTTGGATGCACTTTTGATTCACCACCTTCGATAACAGGCCATTTCATTTTCCACTTCGTGTAATGCAGTCACGGCCAGAAAGAAGAAGAAGAAGTTACGAAAGGTAATGACATAGGGAGATCGCCCCAGCCTAGTGGATCTGTGTATCCAATCGGTAAGTTTTCTGCCTTTATCGACTTATATATACGATCACTACAATCACGATCAAGTAAAGCTTTAACGCACTGAGATTTGAATACGCGAATACTAATTTGTTAATCGCGTTTCTTACCTACTCGGCTGCGGTTGCGGAATCTTGCATTTTAGGCAACTGATCGAACACAAGTAATTGAAATACTTATTGGCGGAGAATTCAGCTCAAGCTCTCAAAGAACTTACGAACAACTTAGCAGCTGATGAAGCATTTCGAATCGTTCCAGCATCGCGGTTTCATTATTTGCCAGGCAAAGAAAGAAGTGGCGTGTTGTGGATGACAAAGACAAGTTGATCTACTAGAATGATCCCAAGCGCAAAAGCGCGTGGGTTAGTCCAGGAGAGCCATCCACATCGACATCGAAGCTAAATATTCATCGATGTCATACTAACATCGATTCATATACATTGCACCAATTTATCGCAACAAATGGCTTTTTGAAGTGTAAAAATGATCAGAATACATGCAAGCATTTACTAATTCAGAACAAAGACGTCAAAAATTGCGTTATTCAAATGAAATTTGAAATTTTCAAATGAATTTGATTTGAGTGATGTGTTTACAGAAGAACTCTATGAATATTGCGGCCATTAATCGCAAAGTAATTGTCGTAGCTATGAGAAAAAATTTATGCTTATTTCTTACGCCATTTGATGAACACGCAAATGGGTTTTGATTTATCGCTAACGATGATGTTATGCGCTGCCTGCCGTACTTAATATTGCACGTAATACGACACAAATTCTCTAAAACGCATTTTTTGCACAATCTGAAAGTGACGTCAGTACTTGTGTAGTTTTATAGGAACTGAGAAATAAAATTTATCAAAAAAAAAGAAAATGTTTTTATATTTTTTAAAAAGTTTCTATCTATGAAGTTTATAGGCATTCAAATAGTTAAGCACAACACTCAATAAGCATCAAATAAGTCCACCCACTTAAAAGCCCTGCATTTTTTGTTGTTTATTTTTTTTTTTTTTTATTTTATATAGCAGTTAGATGACTCTTAACAACTTTAACTAAGACACCTAACAATTCGTTTATTGTTTAATGCGCTGCGTTGTTAACATACAAAACAATCATAATGATAATAAAAAAGAACGTTAACTTTCCATATTTGACGTCAATCGTCGTCGTATCAAGATATTCATCGTGGTTTTTGAAATAAAATGTATACACTAGTATTGTTGTTGTTTTTGTTTTTGCTATTGATCATTTCCGACAGCATACAGAAAATTCTCACAACATTAATTTAACTTAATTAACCGTTTCTCATAACCTCAGATATTGTGAAATAGTCTTGATTGCCATGACCAACCAAAAAACAAGTTACGCGAAAGAAACTTAAAACATTATTTTCATAATAGAGATTCTTCTGAACGGTACTGTGAAGTGTATTGTGATTTAAATAATAAGGGAAGATGTTATTTGGAAATTATACGCGCACTTCGAGTGTCAATATGGGCTTTTTTCCTTCTGAACTACGTATAATTCGGGGATATATTAAGCTTGCGTTCAGGTATGCAAGGACTTCAGATGGATCCACCTTTCATTATACCGATCGATTTAGAATCACTTTGTGATTTGGTTTAGACGTGTCTGTCCATTTGTCCGTCTGGCCGTCCATCCATCTATTCACGTGTGCATCAGGCTGCGTGTCCGTCTGTCCGTGCATTCTTCTGTCCGTCTCTCTATCTATGCATGTGCCCATCTGTCCGTTTGTCTGTTCTGGATTCTTGTGTTCAACCTATAGGCCACAATTTTTGACATATTTTGATGAAAATTGATACACAACACCATTGTGGTTTGCCCCAAACACGAAGGCTATTGAAAATGGTTCGGATCGGTCCACTTTTCGATCACTGCTCATATATAGCTCTATTTTCAAAAATTATTCATGATATGGAGCACATCGTAATTTTCAAAATTCGTCGTTTTATAAATAATTGAAAGGTAGTGTAGGGTAGGTAATACTCGGCCGTGGTCCACTCCGGTGTTTTTACTTATTCAGTTTATAATAAATTCTCATTCTCATAAAGTATTGAGTATATAATTTGTTTGACGAGCCTTATTGATTCCACTCCAAACAGTTTACTTGATCATTGAAAAAGCCATAGTACAATAATACGATTTTTGTGGAGAAATATTAGTTGGATATTTGGTATTGCGTACAAAGGAGCATATTACTGTGATTCTGGAACAAAAGGAAAAGGAGAATATAAAATAATTGCAAATTGTTCATTAAGTGTCCTGAAGTGTTCGATTTGCAATTCTTTTGATAAATATCTTTAAAAAGATAATTAATCTTGTAAATATTTTTATTAGTCGATAAGATTGGTGGCGCTCCTTGACGTGGCTTGTCTTCAAGTGGCTTTTTTTTGTTACAATTCAAGCGCTTATATCACTTGCATTACGCTTTTGTTGTCCCATTGCTTGATCATCGTAGCGATTTCTTATTATTTTCAATGCATTTTCCTAAACAATTTGATTTTTTTTTTTTTAATAGCACTTGATATGAATTCCTTGTTTAATAAATTTATTTGTTTTAAAAATTTACTGACAAGAATATCTAATAGTTGCAAAGCATTTGAATTTCTAGTTAAGCACTAATATCCTATACTACTTTGTTTAACATAGCCCTGCATTTATTTTCGAGAGAACAGATCCAAATTTATATCTTGTTTGCATGGAGGCCACTATATAGCACTTCACCCAGCTGATTATTCTTCATCTATTTTCTTGCTACATCTTGATGATATTAAAAATGAGATTTTATTGGATTATAAAAACTTACTTTGTTTTACCATGGCAACCTTTATGTGGTGTGAAGTCCAAAATATAGACTTAGGTCGCCTGCATTTTGCTCAATTAACTTTTATGTCACATCACCATTCTGCAACAATAGTATAAATCAGATTTTTTTGCCATATAAAGGAACGATTATATACGCGGGAGTTCAAAGAATTGCCCGTCCAATCCAAATTTCCCAAATCGACTTAGCGTACTGAAGCACTATTACCCAAACTACGCTGTCGAGAGATTTAAAATTGCCAAATTTTCACATAGAGCAGTTTTTTTGAAATAGGGTGGCAATGGGTAGCTTTGCTCCGTAAAACGGCTTCGGTCCACTGCATTTTTAATAAAGCTTGCTCTTCTGCCTGCATACCCGCCCATAGCTACAATTCCACTCCATTTAAATTAATCCAAAGGAAGTTATGAAAATAGGGGCAGTAAAAAGGACCACGTGGAACGATCTCTCCAATCGTAATAAGCTACAAGGGCGCAAATACTTACATGAGTGCAAGTACTAGGTGCAAGTACTTGCATATTTGAGCTATTGATTTGACCATTACAATGGAAAGAGTAGATGCGTTATCGAATGTAGTCGACTGACATTTTTGTGCGTGATCATATTCATGCTACAAATGTGGACGATGCGGTGGGATGGTGAAACTTCGCATATAGTTCGCAGAGCAATGTCTGATTGCTTTAAACTGACATCTTGTCTCATTAAAAGATCCTATATATATAAACACTTACATATGTGTACATATATGCAGATGCATATATACATACGTGCATATATGCATATGTTTCTAAGCTTTGCCGATGCTGAAGTCACATTTCTTTGTAACGTTCGATAGACTCTCTAACATTATAATTCGTGCTTAGTATCCGTAGTAATAGAAAAATTACAAGAATTTGTGAAAAAAATAAATTTTGTTTTAATGAACAGTTGGGTGCCACAAAAATGGCCGGAAGTTTACCATCATCGCCTCTGCCCGACATTCAATTACTCCCGATTGTTCTTATAGGCATGTGGAACTACTTTGATTGGCTTAATTATTTAATGCGCCCGACGAATTGTCTGCCGTTCTATTACGATGGAAGAGCGAATATTTATTTGTTCTTATTACATTAAATTGACGTCATAGGCAAATTTTTATTTATGTATTACGTATCGCGTTTTTTTTTTTTGCCAGATTTATTATTTATTTTTATGCATTTCATTAAGATGATTATTCGTGCTACTGGTGTGCTTATGCCATTGACATTGATAGCAGTTTTCTTTTTCAATTGTCCGTAAATAATTATTCATACACATTCATACGTAACTTAGCAAGCAAGATGACTGCTGCACTCTGTTAGACGTGTTGTTTATCTGAAGTGGGCTCAGCATAATGATTAATAGTTTTTCTATTTCTATAATAATGATAACAAAAAAAAAAAAAAAAAAAGAAAAGAAGAAAATCAAAACGGTTTTTATATCAATTGTTGTTGCATGTGAATGATATCAATAAAATTTTCTAATGAATTAATGAAAACAGGAAATCAATCGATCGAATGGTATCTAACCTATGCTGCTGCTATTATGATAAATTACTATGAAATGATTAAGACTCATAATTGAAATTTTTCACTTACCGATAAACCTTTGTAATGACATTTGTGCAGACTTGTATGGTATAGTGACGTTAGGCAAACAATGAAGTATTTAAGAAATCTGCATACTTCCAGGGGTTGCTTAATAACAATAACAAGTAAGAAAGTTGTATTCCGCTGGATCGAATCTCGAATACCCACCAGTATTAAAACCTTTGGCGTCCCATGTTTCTATTTATTGTCATAAAAAAGTGAATGGGATAAAATTAATCTTTCACCTTTTACTTCGCTAGTAGGCATTGTTAAGAAAAATTAACCTATCAGGTTGTGATGTCCACCACAATTCGTTTAGAATTCACACACTTTGGTTGTCGCGTTCTACTCTCTAAGTCCTTTTATGTTATACCCATATCGCTGGTATTATTAAAGGAAAAAGTAATCCACAAGGTCGTGTTGACCACCATTTTTATTTTAGAATTAGGGCACTATACCCGCCATGCTTCTCTGATGGGCATAAATATAATATAACAAAAAGAATTATAAATTATTTATGTTCATGCATGACAGCAATTTATACAACTGTTATTATCTATATATATATATATATATATATATTAGCTGTGTATTTTGAAAATGATTTTATTCCGTTCATCAAAAATATCCAACTCGTATTACAGTATTTGTACTAGTCAATGTCGAAGGCAAGTTTAATAAACCTATCGTAACGTTTGTAGCGCTAAACAATATTTATTCGAAACTTTCTCTTTGCATAGAATAGGGTTTAGTCGTAACAGTCTACCTCGTCTTTTTTTACATCGATCACCGAAGGATAGAGGGTATATGCATTTTGTCAAAACGTTTGCAATGTCCAGACGGAAGCTTCGGCATCCCCACAAATTATATATAAACTTAATCAGCATCGAATTCTGATTTGATTTTAGCTTGCCTATTGATCCGTCTGCGCATCTGTCCGTTTCTTCGTCTACGGAATGTCTGTTTTAAGCATCTTCAGGCTGCAAAAATGAAACAAACGAATTCATCTCAATTTGCAAAAACATTAGAAGTTCTTGCACGCAGGTTGATATTGAAAATGGGCCAAATCGGTCGAAGAATATGCTTACACTACTACGTAAAATGAGGACACCTGTGTTTTTCAAAAACACACTCTTAAACTGCGGCAGATAAATCTATAAAAATTACATGAAATATTCAGTCGGGAGTGCTGTCGTACCCCTATAGAAATGGAAGAAATCGTCCACACCTACTTAATTTTATAGTGTGTCATATATTCATTTTTTTTTTCAAAAGTTTCATAAGGCACAAAAACAACGTTTCAAGCTCCAAAATATATCAAAATGATTTGCCAGTTTCAAATTCGGAATGCATTCATCTTTCCATCTGTCCGTCTACGCAAGTGCGTAGTATAATGTGGTAAATGAAGATATCGCCTGTA